CCTCGAGGCTGGATGCTGTTTAAGCAGATGCTACTGATGGAGCTCCAGGCCTGAAACAGTCACCGTGGCTTGAACCCATGTTCCTTCTTCCTGAACATTGCTTTGTGTTCTGATGGAGATGCCTCAGGTTCTCACAGGGGTGTGAGTGGGGCGGGGTGGGGAGAAGCTTTCCTAACTAACCTCTGCTGGCCACAATGACAACCCCCTTCTGTCCCCTATCCTGTCTGCCACTGCCAGCACTACCCCACACATGTGTTCTGTGCCTATAGGTCCGTTGTGTTGTTTAAATTTTTTGATAGTTCTGTGTGGACAGCATCCATACTTTATCTGTTTATTTTGTTTTTTATGTGGTGTGAGGATGGCACCCAGTGTCTCACACATGCTAGGCGAGCGCTGTGCCACTGAGCTGCAGCCCCAGGCCTGTTCATTGTGTTTTTCCCCCAAAACTTGTTTTTGCCACTTGTACTTCCTTGGTAATTATGTGATCAAATAAAACGTTACATATGATGAAATTTGAGTGTGAAAAAGAGAAATAATTTTTCTGAAAACTCAGTTGTGTGTTTTGGAAAGACTTAGAAACAACTTACTAAAGACACTGCTGTTGCTCTAGGTGTGACAGGGGCACATCGTGTGAGTGGTGGTTAAGATCCAGAAGCATCCTTCCCTTTGTACGTGGTGAGGTTGTCTTGGAAATAAACTCAGGTTGGACCTGTAAGGTGTGCAGCTGGGGTGTAGTTTTTGATAGAAAGCCGTGGAGCACCATTTAGAAGGTCCACACTCAGGAGAAAGATCTTGTCCTTCACACATGACCGAGGACTGCAGGTTTGAAGTTAAATTGTTTTAGGTGTGCATATAGCATTTTTTAATCCTCTCTGGCTGTGAACTTCATAAAACAGTCCTATGATCATCACTTCAGATAGGGCAATTTTTCTGTTGAGCTGGAGGGACTGAGTTTCTGAGCCTTGCCTTGGCTGGTGGGTGGGAAATAGGCGAGAGAGTGAAGAAATCTGGGGTCCTGTCCTGGCTTGACCCCTGCCCCCAGCTGTGCACCCCTCAGCCAACTCCTCAGTCCCCCCCCCACTTCCCCTGGTGAACTGGGAAGAGCTCCTGTCCAGCACCCCGGCTGAGGTTGGGTGGGGCAGCTCCCATGAGAAAATATTCTGTGAAAGCACCTTTTATCAGTAGGTATCTGTTAAACGGCAGCCGAATGCCTTGGTTTCACCATTTTAGTTTGTCTTTATGCTGTTTATCTTATTCACTATTAGAATTAGCAGTTATTGGGATCATATATGCAGCAACAATCTCACTAGGTTGGGCTTCCAGATCCCAAGTTTACAAACACTAAATACAAGCCACAGCACCACATAGAAATCTAAGAAATCTAAGTGAATGCATGCTGTCTGAGCGTGTTTAACGGAATTTGCCTACAGCGGTTGACACTTCTGTTGTGAGAATTTCGCATCTTCATTAAAGCAGGTGTTCCCAGGCCTCTGCTTGCCGACACCTTTTTAACCTTGCTCATTACTATTTATGCATTTAAAAAATAGAAGTGCTTTCATTTTTTTTGGCTATTAAAACAAAACTTGTAGTAAATACTTGTGAGTTCAGCCTTTTGATGAATTCAGATTGGCCTTCCCAATTAATTAACATTCTTTACCTCATGGGGACTGTTTCTGTCTTTCCCAGTGACATTTCCCATTTGTTTATTTCGTGACCTTATAGTGGTAATTACTAGTGATGAAGAAAAGCTGCCTCCTCCGCTCTCCATTCTTTTGTGGCCTCAGGATCTTTGTCACCCTTCCTTTGTCCTGGCTGAAGTGGTGGCTGCTAAGCTGTGACGGGTGCTCCTCCAAAGACTCCTCAGTTATTAAGTGGGGAGCTTCACGCTTGGCTGCGGTGATTAGCTCCGTGGCCCTCCCTGTCCCCCTGGAGCTGGGAGAGCTGCAGGAGCAGGTGTCTGCTTCTCTGTCGCAGCCATTTCCTGGACCACGGAGCGGATCTCCGCTGGGGAGGGAGGTTTGGACGTGGCCTGCCTGGGTGGGATCCCCTTCCTGTTTCAGATGTGACTCTTCTTATTCCAAGCTTATTTTTGGATGACTTGGGCTTCCTTTGAAGCTCTGCTGGGCAGCATTGCTCAATCCTGAGGTGGGGTGGTTTGGGTGGTGATCCCAAGCACTTGTGTTTGTCCTCTTAACTCTGTGACTCCTCTGGTTGCAGAGAGCAGCACTGTTCCAACTTTGAACCTTTCATAGTGACAAAATTTGAAATTTCCTTGGATCTTTCTTATGAGGTGAAAGAATTATAATGAAGTCACATCTTTAGTGTCAAAGGCTACTTTCTCTGACTTAAAGGACATCAGCCAAGCCAGCACCTTCTGCCCTGTTTACAAACACTAAGTTTGTAAATCTTTTCTGCCCTGAAAAGATACAGGCATGACAGGATCTTAGGAGAAGTGAGAGACCCCGTCAGGAACATTTCTTAGGTGCTTCTCGCCTGCACTGAAGTGCAACCTGCTCCCGCCTAGAATTAGTCTACCTCCCTAAACTGCCAGACCCGCCAGCCTCCTTTGTGTGTCTAAGGGGTACGTCTTCTTGAAGAGGGTACATTCTTGGAGGACAAGTTGAGTGTGATTTATTATCACGCCCCCATAGTAACTTTTACATGTGGTTCATAGTTTGCACCAAATGAAAGGAAGAGCAAACATCTGCATCTCAAATGCAATATGAAAAGCAGTCCCTTAGCTTTGTGGGGCCATCACCCCTCACTTAGAGACCCATTGGAAGCATGCTGCACTGTAGAAAGATGAGACCCCATGTGACACATACATTCCATCCTTCCAGGGTGTGAACGGAGGTGACCACCTGTTCCCTGCAGCCCCAGCGTGAGACAGCAGCTGGTCTAACCCCGGGGGTTTGCAAGTGATCCTGCCATTTCTTCAAGGGCTTAGTGTTTATCTGCCTGATGTCAGATGCCAAGCCCACCACCATCCGCCCACGCTGTGGCCTGTGCTGTGCCTCCCAGAAGGGCTTTCTGGGGCTCATCCTCATCCCCAGCCTCTCGGGTTTCCCGCCCCCTGTATATTCCTCATTCCAGATCAGATGCGAGCGCAGGTATTCTGTATCAGCAGCCTCCGGAACCTCTGATTCTGTCTCCCTCTCCAGTTACCACCCATATCCCTGCTCCCTTTCACAGAGTGGAGTTGAACTAACAAAGAAGTTCATTTTCACACTGAGCTGCCCTACTCTCTGCTCTTTGTTCGAGGGAGCAGGGTGGTTCTGCAGAAAAGCCTGAACCAAAGTGGTTGTGAGTCCTGGGTCTGGTGCTGACTTGTGTGGCCTGAGGCAGGGCCCTGTTCCTGAGGTTTAGAGGTGGTTGTCTGACGACCAGGTTGTGATAGTAAACAAGGGGACAGGGAGGGTACACACAGGACATAGAGCAGAAGACTTGAAATCAATTTTTCCCTTAGGAATTGTCATAGATGCCGGGGAGGGTGGGGAAGTCCCCTCTTAGTTCCGAGTGTTATGCTTTTGTATTTGAAATCATACAAAAAAGGAGGGAGAGACGATTCTTCCATGAAGTCAATTGCTATTGGCTCCTGCTCATGGAAGGTGCTGACCATTGGTTCCTGATAGGGGGATCTAAGGTCACTGGACAAGGTCACAACAGGGAAAGAGAAATCCTTGTGCCAAAATGTGAAGTTCACCCTTTTTACTGGCAGCGGGCCCTCAGGAGGGCTCTGATCCCCATGAAGGAGCTTTGAGATGTGATCTACTGAGGCGTGGAGGGGACAGCTGGGTACTTTTTCTTGGTGGGGTTCCGAGGCCTCCGTGACCACAGCTGAGAAAACGCCAGGCTCTCTGGCATGTGATGCTTCCTCCGTCACAGCTGTCCCGATGGGCCTGTCTTGTCCTGTGCCCTTGGGAGAGCTTTGGGGAGGTAAGCTCCCTTGGCTGATCACCTCTGTTGTGTCCTCCTAGGATTTAGACATATTTAGGGAAGAACTGCGGCAGCAGCTGGGGTTCCGCCCAGGAGCCTGTGTGGGCGGGGCCAAGGGCTGTGTCCGGTGGGCTCTTGCTCCCCCCCTGGCCTGGCCCTGTGTCCAGCCTTCCTGTTAGACAGCTGACCTTCCTAGGGGCTCCCCACACTTGGTGTATGTCACAGGGCATTTTACTTGGCTTGGGTTTGAATCCTGAGAGCTAATCTTTCTCATTGTTTAACAACCAGATCCAAAACAGGATAGCAATCCAGTAAAATTAGCCATGGGCCACAGAATTAGTTGATTGCCTCTAGAGTTGGGGCAGGTGCATAGGAGACAAAACAGCTCAGAACATCCGTGCAAAAGCACTGATTGAGCACCACTGTCCACTAGATCTCGCTGTACTGTGGAGAGACTACAGATGATTAGGCCCTCGCCTGAGCTTCCAGCAACTTGGTGTGACAGATGGGAGACAACCTGGAAGCCACTGGAATAGACCCACTGCGATAAGGACCTGCTCTGGATGAGGGAGCAGGGGAGGTTTTATGGAAACAAGCCTTGGGCTGATTCGGCTGGGACATCTCAAGCATTACAGATTTCTCTGTTTACATATAGATCAAAAGCAGGGTAGCAAAGAAGCCCCAAATCTTCTAAAACTTGAATGGCTGCATCCCACTAGCAGGCTGTGTGACAGACACACGGCCCACCTGAAGGGTTTATTTTCAAGGTGAACCTGAGTCACCTTGTCATGTGACTCTTGGCCTCTCACATGCTGTTCCTTAGTTTTATCTCTTTAACCACAAAGTGAGGTTTACTCTTAGGAAGAAAGGGAGAGGAAGGAAGTGATGTTTGGAGGGTAAATAAATCGAAGTTTGAGTACCTTTGATGTTCCAGGCTTTGAGCTAGGCGGTCAGCATTGAAACTCATAAAAACCCAGAGAGAATATACAGTTAGCCCTTTTAATAGATGAGGAAGGAGAGTCAAAGGACAGTTCATTGTTTTGTACAAAACAAAAAGTTCATCAGGGCTTTTTTTTTTTTTTTTTAACTCTCTTTCCTCTTTTTAAGTTGTAGCATTGAACAGTGCTTCTTCAACTCTAATGTGCATAGGAGTCACTTGGAACTAAGTTAGCAGGTCTGAGTAGGTCCCCAGATGGTGCGTTTCCATCCGTCTTCCAGGTAATACTGATGCTCTGGAGGAAGGGAACACACTTTGAGGACCAAGGACAGGACTATGTATTTGTTGGGCTGTTTCTTTTTTCTTTTCTTTCTTTCTTTCTTTCTTTAAGCAACAGGAGATAATATGATTTATATCGAGGAAATTTGAAGGTTTGCTGCTCTATTCAGCTGATCACAAAAATTAGTCTAGTGACTTTTTTTTTTATCAGTTGTTACAACCTCTTAGATAATCTTGATGACAGGTCAAGATCTCATCTTTTTCTCTTCAACGAAAACTACAGAAGACTGAAGAAAGAAATTCAAGAGTATCTCAGAAGATGGAAGGACCTCTCATGTTCTTGGATAGGCGGAATTAATATTGTCAAGATTTGCCATACTTCCAAAGCAGTGTACATATTCAGTGCAACCCCATCAAAATGCCAAGGATATTCTTCTTAGAACTAGAAAGAGTCAGAGACCTCGAACGGCCAAAGCAATTCTGAATAAGAAAAGTGATACAGGAGGCATCTCAAATTCAACTACAGAGATACAATGGCAAAACCAGCATGGTTTTGACCTTAAAATAGACAGGAAGACCAATGGAATAGAATAGAAGACAAACCACAATTTACACAGCCATCTGATACTTGACAAAGGTCCAGCAGGAGAAGATATCCTTTTTAATAAGTGGTGCTGGGAAAACTGGATGTCTATATGTAGAAGAATTCATTTAGATTCCTATTTTTCACCCTGCATGAAAATAAAATCAAAATGGATCAAAGACTTAGGAATTAGATCAGAAATCTCGCAACTACTAGAAGAAAACATAGGGTCAACACTCTATCATCTAGGTGTGGATGTAGGAACTGACTTCCTCCGTAAAACCTTTGAAGCTCAAGACGCAAACCCAGCAATCAGTAAGTGGGATACCATCAAATTGAAAACCTGCACAACAAAGGAATCCATTAAGAGAGTGAAGAGAGAGCCTGCAAAATGGGAGAGAAATCTTTGCCAGCTACTATTTCTGATAGAGGTTCATATCCAGAATATAGAGAATTCAAAAAACTTACTGCTCCCCCTGTAGCAGCTCCTGCTTTGGGAGGACTGGTTTTCATTCTGTAAGCAGGAGGGGGCCACCTGAGGGCATAGTGCCAATCAGATCCCTGGTGGGGGTGTCTGAGGAGGGTGCCAAAGACGGCTTGAGCTGTGGAGAGACAGACGCTGATGGCTGAGGGCTTTCATGACTAGAACCTGAATGGTGGCTTTGGGAGAGAGGTAGGAAGAAGGGGGTCATGGCATTTTAGTGACCAAGTTGCTCAGACTCGGGATGAGGTGATGGACAGGGGGAGTTGACCCCAAAGCCTCAAATCACTGGGGCACAGCAGGGTGGAGAGAAGGGTGCCAACGCGGGAGCCAGGCAGTGACCCGTGCACGGTGCCCGGGCCTCCACATGCATGTCTGTGCTCTCCAGTGTCTGCAAGGGCCTGTGTGCTGGGAACTCAGGTTGCTGTGTTTGCTGGATCTGGAAGTAAAGGACATTTTGTGCCACAGAGGAAGCTTTTGGGTTAAGGTAGTGACCTTTGATCTGGACTGTCTCAGGGACACTCAGTTGTAGTACCTGCCTGGAATCCAACTCCAAGAGACCTACCTAGCCTGGTCCTGTCCCTTGGCTTCCCACAGCCTTGTTCTTGCCTTTGACCTGGGAGCTGTGTGCACGTGTGCCGTGTTTGTGTCAGTGTGTGCTGAGGAGGCTGGCTTAGGTGCACAGGAGACTTTGGACTGGCTGGTGAAATGTTTGCGTACCACCCGTGGCCATTATTTCCCTTTCTTACACAAGTGTACTTTTGGCTCCCAGCGAGGTTGGTAGATTTATTTCACTGGTGCTTGTTGCTCTGTTGAAATGTGTATTTAGGAGCACGCTGGCATTACGACACACCAAGCAGGCCCTGGAATGCCGTGGCCAAGGGTTTCCAGAATGATGAAAGTATGGAGAAGCTTGAGTTGGCAAGCTGCTTCTAGTGTTGAAGGTCGCTAGCACAGCCAACTGATAATGCTTCTTTTTGTTATTGTTTTTTATTTTTATTTTTTTGCTTTTATCAGAATTTGTTCTTTTTTTTTTTTTTTTTTTAATGTGCATTCTGTGGTTTGGTGGCTCAGGCAGGTTGGGCTACCTGGCTTACCCCAGCTCATGGAGCAAGTGAGTCCTGCGGCTGGGGCCAGAACCCAGAGCCTTCTGACTCTGAAGCCTGAACTCGAGGCCAGCACCTGTCCAACCTGAGCATGTCCGTGAGCAGCCTGGGTCTGGGTCCCCTGCAGGCCTCCATGGGGAGGTTTGCAGGGACTCCCATGTCTCACTGCTGGTCTGTGGGGCCCACTGAGTGGCAGGTGTCCACACCATCTGGCACATGGCTTACTGTCTCCAACTCTCACTTCCCATGGTCCCAAACCATCAATTGTCGATTGGCCTCTTCTTCCTTAGAATTGCTATGAGATCTAAGATGATGAAACTGAAATCTTTGTCATTCCAAGTAATGAAAAAAATACCAGTGGCCTTGCTTAGCCTCTTTTTCTGCCCAGCCCAGCCTGCCTTCCATTTCTTTCTTTTTGTTCCCGCTCCAACCCCACAGTCCCCTTCATCTCCATGTGATTCACCTTTGTAACTTGGGCCCTCAGGGACTTTGCTGGTGACTGTTGACAGATGGCTTGTCAAGAGGTATGGCAGCCCCCCTTTAACCCGCCTCCTCAGGTAGGTTTAGAGTGGGGGCTGTGGGGTCCATGGCCTCTCTGGGCCCAAGAAATACATAGGTCATTCTGAAGGTGACCTCTTCCAGGGGAGGTGGAGGGAGACTTCCCTGCTCACCATTCTTGGGATATTTAGTAAATGACTTTGATCAAGAGGTTTGAAGCGAGTTAAGAAGGTTCTATTCCATGGGGCAGGTGAAGTGTCTCAGGAAAGCCTCAGACAGGGCTGAGCACGCAGGGACTGGCCCAGTAAGCTGGGCCTTCCCACGTCTGCCAGCAGCCACAGTCAGCAGACTGTGTAAGAAGGTGTAATGTGCGTAACGTGTTTTTAAAAGGTTGCAATTAAAGTGATGAGGATGAGTCATTTTTATGGTTTGCTTTGGGGTCTCATCTTTCAGGGGGTGGTGAGGCCCTGTTATATAGTGTCTGGGAGGAAGAACACTCTCCCCAGGCAGACCCAGGTCAGGGCCATGGCCCTGGGTATGTTGGCATAGAGACAGTGCCTTCCCAGCCTCCTGCAGGTCTGGAGGCCACTCAGGCTGGGAGGTGCTTGGCTGTCTGCCACCTGGAGATGCGGGAAGGTGTGCTCTGGTCTATTGAAGGGAAGTGCTGATACAAAATTCGTCCGTGACGTGTTGTTTGTAGGTAGGCCTTGTCACTGTGAGAGCGTCATTGGGTATATTTACACAAACTCAGATGACTGTGGTGCCACTGGGCAGCATGATCTTACGAGACCACTGCAGTACGCGTGGCCTCTGGGTGAGGCAGCTACGGCAGCCCCCTCCCCGCCCTTATCCAGAGGGCTGAACTTTATGTACACTAGGTTTTTCCATACATACACACCTGTGAAAAAGTTAATTTGTAAATTAGACACAGAAGAAAATAGGATAATTATGACAGTACACTGTGATAAAAGGTATATGACTGGGGTCTCTCAAAATTGCTTGATTCCTCTTTGCACAGTAATATTTGGGGGCTGCAGTTGACTTTAGGTAACTGAAACCATGGAAAGCAAAACCAGGGCCAAGGTGTGGGGTAGGGGGCTCCACACCTTCCGTCCCTCAGGATGGTATCATGAATGTCTGTCACAGCCAGAGTATACCCTGGAGTAACAGGGGAAGTAGAGGTTCCTCCTGGGGTTGAATCCTGGGTTTCCCCATCTCTGGAAAATTCATCCTGGCCTCTGTTTCCCCATATTTAAAATGGGGAGTTGGGTGCAGTGGTACACGCCTGTAATCCCAGCAGCTCAGGAGGCCAAGGCAGGAGGACCTCGAGTTCAAAGCCAGCCTCAGCAATTTAGTGATGCCCTAAGCAATTCAGCAAGACCCTGTATCCATAAAATATAAAAAGGGGCTGGGGATGTGGCTCAGTGGTGAAAGACCTCTGGGTTCAATCCCCAGGACCCAAAAGATAAATAAATAAACAAACTGGAGGTTAAGTAACAACAACAAACATGGCCTGGGGGTTGTTAGGAGGGGTGAATGAAATTGCCCACTTGGGTAAATTGCTGCTGAGATGAGTGAGTCCCTGCAGGGTCTGTACTGCTGACCTGGCTCTGGTGTCATACAGGACAGTGGACTTGAAGGTGAGCAAGCCCTGGCTTCTCCAGGCCCTGCCATTGTCACCTTCCTGCCCAGAGTACCCACCCTGGGGCCTGGGTTGGGGGGAACGGAGCAGGAGCTCTGGTCTCACTGGTGAGCTGGGGGTGGGGAGAATGAGAGGAGCCTTCCTGCTAGCAGGGATCATGAGTACCAGTCCCCACTGGGTGGCCCCCGCTGCTGGTTTCTATCACTGGATCTGGCATCCTGCGGTGGTGGCTTAATTGGAAGGGGTAATTGTCCTGGGGGAAAGGTCCAGGAGTGGAGAGGCCCTGCAGCTGAGGTCTAGGAGCTCAGCTTCCAGGCTGGCCAGGGAAGCCCCCCCCCCCACTCCCCCCTTCCCTCTGCTCCTCTTTATCTCGAGGAAATAACTTCACGGTTTTCTTTAGAAACTGTGGCTCCAGTTTCCTTCCTGGGCTCCCTCTGGTCCAGGGAAGGTCAGAAGCCTCAGACCCTCACCACCGCCCTTCACCCTCCTCCCGAGCTTCCTGTCCTTGAACACCCTCACCCAAAAGTCCCCCTTCCGACCCCATCCTGCCCTCCCCGTGATTTCCTCCTGCTGCCTGCACTTCCCTGGGTCCCTGTCACCTCTTCCTTCTTGGTTCTGGCTCTGTGGTGTGGAGGAAGAGCTGAGAACAAAGGATTTAGAATCTGACAGTCTGGTGTGAATCCTGGCCTCAGTACATTCTCCTTTTGTGACCTTGGTTTGGTGACTTGACCTCTAGGTCTCCTACTTTATGCAGTGGAGACAAGGACCCTTGAGGGTCTGTTGGGGAGGGAACACTACCTGCCTGAGGCATGCAGTGGTGCTCTGGATGCTTTCCTAATGTAATAATGATGCTCCTGTTTCTCTCTGGTAGCCGACCCTCGTCCTTCAAGTGCCACTGAATAGTGTAATTGAGCCAGTTTAGATCGTGTAAGATGGTTCCAGGTCTTCAGATAGTTCCAAGAGCCATGGAGGCACGGGGCAGAGGCCAGATGTGCTGTGTCACAGAGGGGAATAAGCACAGCCTCTCCCTTCTGAGAACTGGTGGCAGCCCCCTAGGCCCTGGAAGGTTCCTCTGTGGACCACACAGCTGCCTCCTCTCAGCAGATGGGCACGGGAAGGATTTCAGGCTTCCCTCCCCACTCCCACCTTCAGGAATGAGACTTACCATGACGGGCTTACCTCCGTCCTCCCGGCTCACCTCCTGCACTTGCAGGAGGTGCACTTGCAGGCCGGGTGGCAACCCCCCGACCAACTGCTGACTCATCAGCTGCAGTGACCCCACGGAGCTGCCTTGGGAGAGCTGCCTTTGCGCTGGGTCAGCCTGCATCTGACTCTGACCGTCTCCAGGGAGACGTAATCCCCTCTGCCTCGCCCTCCAGTCTGCTGCAGCAGAGGCTGGGGTGAGGCCCAGAGGAAGCTTCAGTGGCCCCAAGGCTTCCCCGTCCTCCCGGAGCCTGCAGCACTCTTAACACCCCATCTCTCTGGCCAGGTGATCACCTCACTCCTTCCCAGGGCAGGTTGACCACCTCCCCACAGTCGGCCTGGCTGAGTAGAGCCTTGCCAGGCACCCCCAGCCCCTCCCTCCAGCTCTGTGGCCCAGACGGTTAATCTCTGGACTTAATGCTTCTCAAGATCCTTTTGAATGGGCTGCTTTGACCACGGGATTGTTTTTTTAGCTCAAACATCCTGGCAGCAAATCTGTCTGTGGGCTGGCCCCTGCCCAGTGCTGTACCTGTACAAGTTCCCAACAGAACTGGTGAAATGTTAGAAAGCGCAGCGCAGTGAGAAAGGATTCCGCTCCTGCAAGACCCGCAGCTCCCTATCCCACAGCCCTTTGCATTTGCTGGGATCTGTTTGTCCCTTGTTCACTCTCATTGTGACACCATTAAGAGACAGGCCGGTCCCTTGCTCAGTCGAAGCTCCTCCCTTACTGTCTCTACCAGATTCTGCAGTTTCCTGCTGCCTGTGCTAGATGCTCATTATCTAGCTTCAATAATAAAGTCACAAACTATGTGGAATCGATAGACCCTCGCGCCAGCTGGGAAGTGAGGCAGGAGGCAGAGGGGGCATTGCACAGATGCCATCCTGATGTCGAGATTTCTTGAGGGGAAACAATGCTGGGTATGAGGGTTTGCTCATGAAAACAGTCATGTGGCCTTCCTGTTTTGCAGCCGTGCCTGGAAGTCTGCTCATCAAAAAATAAAAAAGGAACTGGATGCATTTAAAGAAGGCAGCGTGGCCACACTTGCAGCTGGAACGCTCAGCTTCTTTCACAACAATTCTGCAAGCTGCAGTTTGTGTGTATGTGTGGGGGGGGGGCGTGCTTTATCTGGCCTTCTCTCCCAGAGCCCAAACTGGGCTGCTATTGGGGGTTGAGCTGCCTTGCCAGCGGACGGTCTGTACCAGCTGGACTTGGCTATGAAAGCCGCCTGTGTTGGAGAACTGAAAGTCTTGTGTCCCAAAGTGCTGCTCTGTCTAAAATTTTGTGATCCTTAGGTTGTCAACCATGCACTCATTTCTCTGGGCAGTAATTCTGCCTTCCAGAGCGAGCCAGCATTGTTTTGATAGGTATGGTGCCTAGATTCGGAGGATTTGGCTACTTGGCAAGAAACCCTGGCTCTGCAGAGGGCTTCATGTTTTATAGTATATTCTCCTGTGAGCCATTTCAGATTTCCTAACTTGAATCCTATTAAGAGGGTTTCAAGTTCCTCTTTATACATAGGCCACCGAGGCTCAGAGAGATCTGGTGTCCTTTTCCGCAGCCATGGAACTCCCGAAGAGGCAGACCCAGGCCGTGGGTCTGGAACTGACGGGGTGGCAGCCATGCCTCCTCATTCATTCTTCTTTCTGGCTCCCAAGGCCAGCGCCCTGCCCAGAAAACCATTTCCCTGAAAAGGGAGGATTTGCATTTTTGGATCAGAGATGCATGCACCTGGGCCCCGACAGATTTGGGGCCACGTGTTCTTACAGTGGCCAAGGTCCGTCTGTAGCTGGGGAGACGTGGGCATGTCGTCTAGAGCGTTTATTTATGAAAAGAGTACAGTGAATGTCAGGAAATTTCCAAACCCTTGCCAGACATCTGCCATTTGAATGTGGCAGGAGCAGGCGGCTCCGCGTGGAGGGCTCATTCATCCCCGGGCTGCACCTCCCAGCTCTGGGCAAGTCCACCTCTCTGAGTCAGATGCAGTCTCCTGTTTCCAACCCTCTGCCACTTGGTCTCCATTCATCTGAATAGACATTTATTTCAGTGTCACCAATGTGGCTGGCATGGCTCGGGATATTTGGCCGTCCCTGTGGCACCTGAGACTTGGCCAAACTAAACTGCCTCCTCCTGATTTCTAGGTCTGTTAGTGGGACTCCCAGGTGGCCGCCACCCGGGGTTCAGGCGTCAGGCTCACTTTGGATCGCTGGCCCTGCCCCTGGTATTACTCTCTGCTATGAGGATGGATGGATCCTGCTCCCCTCTGTGCCTACCCCTTTCTTTTTCTTAATTACTTTGTCACCTGGGCTGAGACCCCTTCTGGTCACCTGCTCTCTGGACACCTGGTCCTTGCCTTCTGCCATTTCTCCCTTTGTACTCTGGCTGAGAATCTTCTGAAAACACCCCTGCCCTGCTCAAGATGGTGGCACTCCTGCCCTCTGGACACTGCCATTTGGTTTAGAGCTGTTTTGTACAGCACAGTAAGGAAGGTGTGTGCTCCCCTCACCCACTCTGTGGTCCAGTGGTTGAGAGCAGGGGCTACTGTCTTCTTTTATGGTGCAGGACATCGTATGCTGACAGCCTTCTTGAGTGTGTGCATGGTCAATTGGGCGTGCAAGTTAAACCTTGGTTTTAGGCTAATGTAACCCCCAGGCATCCGTCCTACTCACAGGAAGCAATGGTTGATACCGTTGATGAGCTGACCAGAGCAGACATGCTTCCCCTGTCTTCCCAGGGAAGGGCAATATTGCCATGTGTTTTAGGGGACACTTTGAGGTTGGGTGCTATTTGTCATGTGTCCTTCTCCTCCTCTTGTACAGGTAGAGTGCCTATGGCCGCTCTACCCTGAGCTTGATTCCTAGCCCTTTTAAAATTTTTATTTTGAGACAGGTTCTTTCTAAGCAGGCTGGCCTCTAATTTATGATCCTCTGACTGAGCCTCCCCAGTCACTGGGATAACAGGTTTGGGTTTCTGTGCCCACCTTGTTTGTTGGTTTCTGGTATAGGGATTGAACCCAGGGGTGCTTAACCACTGAGCCACATCCCCAGTCCTTTTTGATCTTTTATTCGGAGACAGGGTCTCTCTGAATTTCTTTGGCCCTCGCTCAGTTCCTGAGGCTGGCTTTGATTGCGCAATCCTCCTGCTTCAGCCTCCCAGGCCACTGAGATTACAGGCATGCACCACCACGTTCAGCTGTTTGTTTTTTCAGCTAAGTGCTTAAACTGAGTGGTTAATTTTATAAGTTTCACTTTCTGGGGCCAATTTGTGAATCCAGCAAATGTTCAATGTGCAAATGAGGTGACTTGAGGGATGATTAGAGCACTTCTCGGTGTCAGATTTACATTTGGTAAAAGAAAATGCGGCATTCACAAAACTGAGCCTGCCCCATCCCTGAGGTGCCCCATTGCTGGAGCCTCCGCACGTGGCTGCTCCCACAGGCTGTTGGTCCTACGTAGGCCGGTGGGAAGCATCTGGGGAGATGGACAGGTTTCACACACAGCTGTGCACATGCACATAAGCCGTGGGCCTCCCTGAGAAGGGTGAGCAGAGCAGGGTTCCCATGGCAACAGGTCAGGTGCAGCCTGAGCATTTCAAGAGGGTGACCATGCAAGGAGTGGGGAGCCCTTGATTGTCCCCAGCCTTCAGAGGAAGCTGTCCTTTGGATGGGATGTCACTTGAATGCCTCAAAGGACTGATGGAGGTAAACAGCGTGGACTGCTCTTCTTCTGTAGAGCTGGGGTCCTCTGTCCCTGACCCCACCATAGGTCCCCTCCTTTGTTTTTGTACCTTAAGTGAGGGAGTCATCTTTATTATGTGTGTGTGTGTGTGTGTGTGTGTGTGTGTGTGTGTGTGTGTGTGTGTATCACCTCTGAGCCACATCCCCTGCCCTTTTTTATATTTTATTTAGAGACAGTGTCTCTCTTGAGTTTTAAGGGCCTCGCTCAGTTCCTGAGGCTGGCTTTGAATTCAGTCAAACCAAGGATTGAACTCAGGGTCACTCGAGTTCAATTTTTTACTTTTTATTTTTTTAACCACTGAGTCACATCCCCAGCCTTATTTTGTATTTTATTTAGAGACAGGGTCTCACTGAGTTGCTTCGTGCCTTGCTTTTGCTGAGGCTGGCTTTGAATTCGCTATCCTCCTGCCTCAGCCTCCCGAGCTCCTGGGATTAGAGGTGTGCACACCCAGTGAGGGAGTCATTTTTTAAAAAAATGTTTGAGGTAAACAACATGAAGCTTTGAACACAGTGAAATGATTTTAATACTCAAGCAAATTAACATATCCATCTCCTCACCTGTTCTGGTGGCAAGAGAAGTAAGATCCCCTTTCAGCAAACATCCTGCACACGGTGTGGTGTCATTAACTAAACTCCTTATCGCACGTTAGATTCTAGATCTGTGTACCCCACGTCTGCAACTCTGCATCTTTTGACCGACATGTCTCCACTTCCTGCTCGCCCCAGCCCCTGGTGACTGCTGTTTCTATTCTCTAGTTGACTTTTTCTCCTTTTGGGGTCTACATATCAGTGAGATCACGTATTGGTTCTCTTCTGTGTCCGGCCTATTTCACTTAGCGTGATATTCTTCACGCTCCTCAGGTCGTGGCCAGTGGCAGGATCTTTCTTTTACAAGGCTGAGTGATGTTCAGTGAGCACACGTGTACATACACATACATGTGCACACTTACACACGTGCACACTGGCTTTTGATCCACCATCAAGGGTCATCTTATCGGTAACACATCACAGAGAAACAAAATCAAGGCAAAACCTGAGCCACTCAGTCTGGCTGCCCAGGACCACTGGAGGAGCTTTTGGACCAGCAGGCTGGGTGAGGGTTCCTCCCAGCACAGTGACCAGTCCACAAGGTCCAGGCTTCGGCTGGTGGGTGATTGGTGAGACAGTGCTGTTCCTGTCCTGCAGCTTCTGGGTATGGGGGGCCGACCCCTTCCACCTTCCTGAGGCCGTGGCCTCTCAGGCTGGGCTAACAAGGCCATCATCTGTGTGCCCCAAGCAAAACCAAAGGCATGAAATATTTAATTGAATTATATGACCGTGGGGATATTGTGACTCATGTTGAAACTGATCACCTGTCTCTTTATCTGGCCCCTGAGTAGATCCCTGGTTAAACATTTAAAGGTCAGAGGCATGGCGATGGCCTCATTGTCTCCTTTCCTTTGTGGGTTGGGGGGCTGTGGAGAGGAAAAGGGGGAGGTATGGGGAGCTGTTGGAAGGAGCTT